TGGGGGGTGTGAGTGGTGGGCCAATGAGGGAGGCAGCGAAGGGTGGACAGGTGTGGCTTGCTGTCCCCACAGCTGATCTCCAGCTGGTGGGTTCTAGGTAATAGCTGTGCCGGGGGTAACTCTTCTCCGTGTGTTTTCAGGTGACTGAGGGGCCCTGTCACCGTGGGCCCGGGACACTATGGCCCAGCCCATCTCTGCCTTCCAGGCTGCCTACATCACCATCGAAGTGCTGATTGCCCTGGTGTCCGTGCCTGGGAACATCCTGGTGATCTGGGCTGTCCGGATGAACCAGGCTTTGCAGGATGCCACCTTCAGCTTCATCGTCTCGCTGGCCGTGGCTGACGTGGCAGTGGGGGCCCTGGTCATCCCGCTCGCCATCGTTATCAACGTGGGGCCCCACATTGAGTTCTACACCTGCCTCATGTTGGCCTGCCCTGTCCTCATCCTGACCGAGAGCTCCATCCTGGCCCTGCTGGCCATCGCCGTGGACCGCTACCTGCGCGTGAAGATCCCCCTCAGGTAGGAGTCCCCCTGCGTGCAGCAGAGCCTGGCCTGCCCCCTTGCGATCGAGAAGGACGCTGCTGGGGTTGGCGTAAAGACAGATCCTCGCTGAGATCAGGGACTGACAGCGGCAGGGCCACGCTCAGCGTCTGGCCGTTGCCCCGTGTCTCCGCCCCACGTGGTCTGGATGGCAAGGGGGCCTGTCTGTCTGTCCATCGTGCTCTACACAACAGACGCACAGACGGGCCAGCATGCCGGCAAGGTGTACAGCTCTGCCAGGGGCGCCGGTAGTGACCGGCTGCCCTAGATCCTCTGGGGAGAACAGGCCCAGAGGCTGGCCCTGACACCAAGCTGCTCTCTGGCCTGCCCGCACGCTTTGCTTCAACACCTCCTGCAGGGTGTGTTTCTTTAGAACGTGGCTGGGAATCGCTCTGCTACCATGTGCCACGGACACACACACACTCCCCGACCAGCACACAACAAAGGCGGGTTTAGCTGTGTGGCACTGGCAGGCTTCAGACAGCTGGAATGTGAAGACAACCCAGGCGTGCCTCCTGGCTTCGAGTGGGGCATGGCCGCCAGGAGTGTGATATAATGATTCTGGGGTATCCGTGTGATGTGGGGGCTCTCGCTGGTCCGGTGCTGGCTGCCACCTGCTCCTCCGCAGAGCTGCCTTCCCCGTGGGGCCGGGGGCCTTGGCGACACTTCAGAAGTTAAGAAATTCGGGGATCCTTTCCCTCCTTGCTAGTAGGGTGGCTGACGTCAGACGTCACTGTATTGTGCCTGGGCCCAGTGCTGGGTGTGAATCAGGGAATGCCCTTTGTGTGAACCCTGGAGCTCTGATCGGAAATATTTAACCCCTTCACTTATCCGCTGTTCTTCCGCTGCCAGGTTCCACGGCCTTTTCTTGGCAGAGACCCCAAACGCTGGCACAGGGGCCGGGTAGAGGCTCTGGGCACACACTCAGGCGGGAGAGCTGCATGGCTGCTAGACGCAGGATGGCGCCGACGGGGCATGATTGCTAGATGTGCAGGGCGCAGGGGGGTGCCAAGCCGCTGGAGAGGCGGGGTCTGTGCAGGGCTGGGACAGCTCGCTATGATGCGGCGGGAGGGGGGGCTGCATTGTTTCCTACCTGCGGGGCTGGAGCTGTGTGGCTTTCCCTGCATAGGTACTGCAGGAAGTTCCCTGACCATCTGGAGGCTGGATTCAGAGGCTGGCTCCTCTCTGCTGTGTTCCCCAGGGCCGAGGGAGAAGGACGCATGCTGCATCTTGGGGGCCATTAAAAACAGCAAAGCAGTGAATACGAGAGGAATAAAACAAACTCGAACGTGTCTGTGGTGAACTCTGGGTCCTCCGCCCCAGCTTCCAGGGCACTTATCTCCTATATTCATCACGCTGTCCCTTAGGAGTGAGTGTCTCTAAATTGTAAACTTCCACAAACATCTCTCTGCATCTTCCCTCTTAAAGAAACACTCATTAGCTCTTAAATACACAGGAACATAAACACACAGCTAGCTGCTATCTAATAACACAGGCGTTCTGTGCTCAACCCATCTGCTACATATCCATTAACCCAATGTGCCCGCTTCCTCGGCAGGAGAGGTTGCCAGCGCATCTCTCCGGGCCGAGTCTTTAATGCTCACTTCCTCCTTCTCCGAGCAGGTTAGCGAGTCTCTGAATCTTTCCGGATGGTTTATTTCCCTCTCTGATCAGCCTCTCACTGGGGTCCAAGTTCTTGTCTTGCTCTTCGCCAGTTTCACTTTTGTCTGCTGGTGATAAAGGATCAGCCAGTGGGAAGCACCAGAGTCCACATCCATTGTCAATGGTTTGGAACTTTCTGGGATTACTCCTGGATCTCTCTGATTATGCTGAAATGTGCTTCCCCTCTCCCACTGTCTGCCTGGGCTACATAAGACCTTGGAGGCAGCTGTTTTTTAATGCTACTCCCTTAGCTCCAAGTATGAGAGGAGCAAGTGGGAGATCAGGGTGTGACGGCACGTTGGGGGTCCCCCGTCTCCTGCACCCCGAAATGGCACAAACAGACTGCACCAGCCGGTGGAATAGAGGAAGTTTATTGCCTCTCCAGGATACAGCACAGCACAGATGTAATCTGGTCACAGAGCTGGGCTAGGATGCCTCAGGCCCCCTTGAGATGGGGGAGACTGGGCCCCTAAACTCCAGCCCCTTTCCCTAGGCTGTCTCCTCCATGCTCTCAGACAGCAACTAACTAACTCTCTTCCAGCCCTGCCCCCCAGCCAGGGCAGCGTTCCACCTTCCTTTGTTCCTCTCCATGGGGGGTGTCTGGCCACTGGTTTGCATAGTGACTCATCCTGTTTTTCTGGGTCCTGGTACCCACGGCAGCCAGTGGGGGTTACCCCAGAGCCAGCAGCATAGAAACCAGCCAGGTACCCCCACTACGTCACACAGGGGCACTCTTGTCAAAATAATTCTGCTTCCTCTTCTGATTGGCTTTCATGTTCTATCTTCATTGTCTCCGATTTCAGCGAGTTATCAGTGACTGGTAAATTAGCTCTGGTTCTTCTTCCCGTCAGTAATGGAGCTGGAGGAAAGCCATTCTCCAGGCATGCTCTTCGGCTTTTTAAACAAATTACCCCCCCCCCTCCTCGCAAAAGCCTTTTTCATAAAGTGTGTTACTTCCCTATAGACCTTTCCGGGAGTCCATGCAATTGGGGGCAATTTGGACTTGATGCTTTGTGATGAAAATCCCAGTCTCTGGCAAATTGCCTAACCTGCCCTGGAAAATAGTGACCCATTCGCACTAAAGACTTCATCGGGCATTCCATGGCTGGAGAAGATTCCCTTCATGCCGGCTCTCTCATGCTTGCTGTTAGTTCTGTGCCGGGTGCCAATTTCTGACTCTTAAATACGCCTTTGATTGCCAGGGAAATAAATCAGGCCTCACCTTCTCCTAAGGCCTTTGTGGGGCTGGGTGAGTTCCCGGTGGCACTGCCTGTTGGCATGGCTTGTATTGTAAGCATGCAAAGCAGTTTGCTACCACATAAGTAATGTCATGATTGATCTGTGGCCAACACAGCATCTCTCCTGCTTCTTGTTTGCACCTAACAATTCTTCAATGACCCCTGCGGATCGTTAGTACCACTTTTTAGAGGCTCATTGAAATTGCAACCTTACTGCCCTTGAAGAGCAGCTGCCCTTGAAGAACAGCGATTAGTCAACCTGTGGAACTCCTTGCCAGAGGAGGCTGTGAAGGCTAGGACTATAATAGAGTTTAAAGAGAAGCTAGATAATTTCATGGAGGTTAGGTCCATAAAAGGCTATTAGCCAGGGGATAAAATGGTGTCCTTGGCCTCTGTTTGTCAGAGGCTGGAGAGGGATGGCAGGAGACAAATCGCTTGATCATTGTCTTCGGTCCACCCTCTTCGGGGCACCTGGTGCTGGCCACTGTCGGCAGACAGGATACTGGGCTAGATGGACCTTTGGTCTGACCCAGTACGTCCGTTCTTATGTTCTATTGCAGCAAGTTCAGGTTTGCAGTTCCGATAGTCTCTGGAACTCAGAGAGCAGCTGTTTATTTCTTCAGGCCACCCTTTAATGATTGATTCTTTAAGGATCCCCAGCTTTCTCCGATTCACCTCTTATTTGTTGCTGTTTCCTTCTCATTCCGCGCGTCAGACCAGGTAATGTTCTTGGGAGTCACCAGCCAACAAAGCTGTGAATGAGAGAGGAATCTAATGTTGAACGAAACAAATCCGCGAGCCTCGGTGGTGAATCTCTGAGCACAGCTGCCCTGGCTCTCCTCTTCAGCTTCCTGGGCACATCTCTAAACTCCTGTATTCCATTCAGCTGGAGAAGTGGGTGGTGCCCACAAAAGCCCATGTACCAGCTACATGTTTTTTTAGTCTCTAAGGTGCTGCTGGACTATTCATTGTTTTTCAAGTTTTTCCTTTGGAGGGAGTGTCTCTAAATTACAATCTTCCACACACCGGTCTCTACACGGCATGCTTAGTCCTGCTATGGCCAATCGCCAGAGTCTGCTTTGTTGGACTGTTCAGACAAGATGCCTTGGCAGGGCAACCCAGCTCTTGAGGTGAGCATGAGAGGCTGATTAGCCCAGACGGGTCCTTTGCTTTTTAGAGACGATTGTATTCATCCCATAGCACAAAATGAATTTGTGCCAGTTTGGCTTGGCAGGTCAGAATTGAAACAGCAGCTGGGGCATGCACGGTTGAAATTCTAGCCCCAGACATGTCCCTGCAGCCTGCTCATATCCAAATGCAGAATCCAAAAGGCAGAATCCATCTACCCCTCCTGCCTTAGGGCTGGACTCCACCAAACACGGTATTCTGGCTGCTCTTCTGGGCACACGAGGGTATGTGGTGGCATTTTCTATTGGAGTAGCTCTTAGGAACTCCAGGCATGGGCCAGACCCCAATGTGCAAGGTGCTGTACAATGAACTAACAGATGGTTTCTTCCAGCCCACACATGCCTCAAAGCTAGTGGGTCAGACACCTCTAGGCCTTCTCAAGAGGGTGAATTCTGGGGCAGGAGCTTGAAGGAATCTCTCACCTGCGTGGAGAGGGCTGGTGAAGTAACAGGGGAGTTAGCCACAATTGCTTGGTGTTCCCCTTGTTTTCCCTTAACTTCTGCATACTTTTTGCTATGGGAATTCCCTTGCTTGTATGCGTATTTGCCACAGTAAACTAGTGGCAAAGCAGGTCACATTGCTATGCGGCTTGTCAAGGCTGCTGTGACAGAGAATTTTCATTGAATGCTGGAGCAATATTTACAAAGGATTTTTCAAAGCTATAGCCAGGTATAATTTTATTCCTGGTTAATCACTGTGTATCTTCTCCTTCCCCCCGTCCCCATGGGGTAAAACTTACTCCAGAAATATTCTTACTGGGTGGGGAGTGCTCAGTTGGACGCACCGTGGCATTGCCCTGTGGAGTGGTATGGTGCTAAGGCCAGGTCTCCATAAAAAACTCAACTTGACCCAGCTACGTCGCTCAAGGGCTGGAAGAATCCACAGCCCTGA